ACAAACTTACTTGAACAGTGAAGTTTCACAGGTGGAAGAGACAGCTCCTTTGCAATCTCTGTGTTCTTGATATCTTTAGCATCAGTTATCTAGAACACAAGAACATCAAATATCTCTAACAGACTGAGGATACCGCTTGAAAAGATAAAAAGAATGATGGAAAAATAAAATAAAATTTGGGCCTATTTGTCATAGGTTTATAACCTTCTAGACAAATGCCACAGTTCACTTAGTTCATTTTATTAGATAGAAATGGGTTCCCTTACCGTTTTTCCTTTCACCCATTCAGTAGCAAGGGAACTTGAAGCAATGGCTGAACCACATCCAAATGTCTTGAATTTGGCATCCACAATTTTACCATTTTCATCCACCCTGATCTGAAGAAATCAGCTCTTTGTTAAGATTTACAATACAAATACTAATATATTCCCTATGAAATGATCACAAGGTTTCTCGTTTATGGTTTCATTAGAAGCAAATTACATGATTGTGAAACACAATTTCACTGTCTGCAACCAGAAAAGAAAAACATAAGCCATCATGCTGAAAGCCATCAACTTCATTTGCAACGAGTGTTACTGCATTCTTTGGCTCAACAATACATTTTACAACATTATTTTCCTTCATAATGATACACTCCTGACTTGAGCTTAGATATCTCTTATACATCTCTTATCTATCTTCTGAACAAGGAAAGTATCATTGTGTTCCCTAGATAATTTTGGATTACAAACAGTTGCTCAGTGTGTGTCTGAGAATGTATGTTTGTTTGAACTTACAAAAATCAATGACCAACCTGAAGTTTCATGACATCTCCACAAGCTGGAGCTCCAACAAGTCCAGTGCCAACATTGGCATCATCCTTATCCATGGATCCAACATTCCTTGGGTTTTCATAATGGTCAATTACCTAGTGAACATGCAAAAGGAAAATATGTCAAAAGTCTATGAGCCAGAGCTGCCTACAAGGTACATCTTAACCCTGGGTAAGTGCTCATCGGCCTTTGCACAACTGGGTCCTGTTGCATAAATTAAATAACTAATAAGACGTTTTGGAGTATAGTGTCATTGAGTATTTTTGTGTACTCAGTGTTTATACATCACAGCTCAGAGATACTGTACACTAAAACGTCCAATAAAATTTATCTACGCTGGCACTTAAATGTATAACTCCATGAAAATAATAAAAAATCCCATCAACAACACATTCTACTTAAAGGAAACTGTAAAAGTTACGGTCAGTAGGGAGAATTTTCTTGAAAAGTTCAAGAAAAATGATGTTGAGTCATTTAAAGACGTACTTGATCACACGTGCGCAAAAACGTGACTAACAAAACAAGCAAAACAATTTGATGTTGGCACCTTCAGAACTCACGCTGCACTCGACAATTTTCTCAGTCGTAACAATAGAACATCTTAAACTAACAGCCTTTTAATTCCGTTAACAACAACAAGATTGACCAAATACAAATCTAATCACAGCCTGGTAAAGGAAAAGCTGTGGGAACCTGAGCAATGTCGACATTTCGTGGTCACGTCCGATTAGCATGTGAACTATAAACAGCTTGCTAAACTCATTTTTCACACCGCATCTAGCGTCCAAAGGCAAGATAAAGGACGCAACTTACATTCTTGTGATAGGCTGCAGCAGCAGCTCCAACCTGTTTACCTAATCCTGTCCTTGCTACGTTTTTCAGACCCTGGGTGAAGAGTGCCATCTTCCATCAGTTATGCAAGACTCCGATAATGTCAATGTATACCGTAATAGTCTTTCTCAGTGACGCAACAAATGTATCAAAAGCCGCGGGATCCGAAACCGCGGGCGCGCAAGAGCTGTCTCGATATCTCGCGCACAATCGACTCGCGCCTAGTTGATTAGATTGTGACGTACCTTACTCTCCATTGATACGTCATTTCTTCTGCACTAAAACAGTTGTGCACCAGTAGGTGGCGTACGAGATTCCCACACAAAGAGGGCAGCGATTTTTTGCAATGACAGCATACAAACAAGCCAAATTGGGTCATTTTCTCTCCATTGATCTCCTGCTTTTTTGCGCTGTTCCGTATCAAAAATGCTTAAGCCGGGTGAGGTCCGATAATTTGGTTATTCTTTCACAATTATTTTCTCACTCGTAAAGCCATGAAACGGACATCAGCTCATGAAAGTTGGTTCAAGATACGCGAAACCTTCAAATTTCTCAGTTTTGATCTGTCATCAGTGGAAGTACTATACCGAGTTTACGACACATATTTAGTCGGGTTGAGA